GAGTCAAGATGAACAAACTGAGAATTGCGGAACGAAGGGCAGGTGTGCTGGCAGGAACTCCCGAGGATTGAATGATGGACGCCGAATGGAACGACGCTTGTCCGTCGTGCCCGCAGCTTTTTCACTAGCCACCGCCGATGCTTCGCAGCCAAACGGAAAGGAAATGCCGCTATTACGAAGGCCTAAACACCGTGCTTGGCCAATCGAATGCGAAAAGCAAACACAGAGGAGGTTCGGCCGACGAAGGCACCCAGACTTGTGCCAGACTGGCATCGAGAGGAGTGGAAACCCGACCCGTTGATGCGGAGGAGGCGTGATGGCTCCGTTATGACAAACATAGTTCAGCTTGAATGTTTTCAAAATTACTCATAGTAAAGCAACATTCAATGGTGAATAACCTCCTCACCTTCGGGTCAAAACACCATCGGCGGAATCCGCGCACGCTGCCTTAAGTTGCTACAGGCAACACGCGTCAAGACAGAATACGGCAGACAATGCAACAATAACAACGCCACCGTGACAGAAGTGCCAAAATATTTGCATATGTAGTGGGTGTGTATACTCACACTGATATCAGGGGTGTGTGTTTGTTCGTTTACGCTCTAGGTTCTGCTTTTCCCCCATGTTTTGCACGGACCTATGCTGGTCTCGTGCACAGTAGGGGTGATCTCGGAAGCCGCGACGGAAAGATCATCCTGACACCAATTGAAAGTTCAGTCATTCAGTTTATTCCTTTGTTCATGCATTTTTTATACTGAATAGCTCTCTTCAATATTCGGACTGTAAACTTGTGGCCCCGCAGCGCCTGTCTCGCCCGTCTGTGGAAGGCCGCAGGAGATACTAACGACTGAGCACTTGAGGTGTCTATAATTAAGGTATTAATAAAAATACAACCGCCAAGGCTCGNGATACTAACGACTGAGCACTTGAGGTGTCTATAATTAAGGTATTAATAAAAATACAACCGCCAAGGCTCGAGCTTTTGCGCAGTGGCAAGTGCTGAATGTCAACAACACTGTTGGGCGACCCACCCCTCATGTCAGTCAGAACGTCTCGCTGGGTTGAAAGACGTCATAGAGGGAAGGGTAAGTTGACAGATATCAAGACACGCTTTCAACACAGAAACATTGGCATGTTGTTGAGTAACTTGTCAGTGAAGTCTGGCTTGATTCAGTACGGCTTGTTTAGGGCCGTTCGGTGCCTTCTTAGCTTAGTCGGTAGAGCATCCGCTTAGTAAGCGGAAGGTCGCCGGTTCGATTCCGGCAGGAGGCTTTGCTCTGCTGAGTGCCTCATTCTGTCTTAACTAGTTGTTTGTGTTTGGCCCTTTCGTTTGGGCGCCGCCTCCTCTAGGTCAATTCAGCTCCGCCTATCTTCTGGTCTTTACAAATGGCACGGCAATGGAGGCGTCACTGGTCAAAGTAAAACAGCTAGGATGTTTGTATCACCACTCAAATACTAACCATTCAAAGAATTCAGATGCCACTGCACTGTTCTTCGTCGCAGGAGAAACGGAGGAACATAGCAACCCCTCTCACGACAAATGCCGCTGCAACAGAGGATCCCCACTGTGTCATTCCGCTAAAGGGGGTAGCTGCTACGTTCATATTTAACACTGGTACGCGCTCCAACATTTTCTACTCTGTCGCGTTTTGTCTTTATCTTCTCTTTTCTGCGACTAGATGCACTTGCTTAGGGACCCTCAAACTGGTCAGTTCCGCTTATGAAAACAGAAGCAATTGATGTTTAGAGAAATCCGCCTGTCTGCCCACATCTCCTGCGGAGTCGGGAGAAAGAACGAGCGTAGACACCTTTAAATGCCGGCGACCCTACANCTGCCCACATCTCCTGCGGAGTCGGGAGAAAGAACGAGCGTAGACACCTTTAAATGCCGGCGACCCTACAATTCGGGCCAATAGCTACAACGGGCCCGTAAGTTCCTTTCCGTTGACTCCCAAAGAGACAGGGCATAACTACATCGAATAAACAAATAAAAAAGCTAACAGATTGTACGAGCCGGCTAATTGTTCGCTTAGTAACGGCTCTCATCCGTGTCCACCATGTGGTGCACAAGCACCACATGGTGGACACGAAACTCCGCGTCAGTATGCTGTATACAACACGAGCTGATGTTTTTTTGTTCAGTCAGCATGGGCTTCATTCCTCCACCACTCTTTTCTTCTGCTTGCATTTTGGAAGTTGACAACCCAACGCACGACTCATCTTCTGTACAATCACTCCATTAGGGATGGCCTGCGGACAAAGCCAAAAGCAAACACGACCGATATATTCCTTGCAGCGGCTTGCATCCAAGCCAGCCTACAGCAGGGAGTTTGAAATGGAGCTAAAATACGCTTCATCCCATTGCACACTCAGCCCTCGCCCTAAAATCCATGCATCCCATTTGCTTCCCCCTCTGGTTGTCTGTCTGTGTCCCGCTTCCCTGCTCTCTTTCCGTGAAATGCAACTAGGTACTGTGAACCACTGACACAGAACAGAAGCCTGTCGCCTGCTCACCTTCCCACTTTCGTACTCGCTCACAACTGACGGCTTTTCGTTAATTGCCTGTGCCAGCTGAGCCTGCGTCATGCCTTTGTTCCTCCGTGCTTCTGCTAACGCGCGGGCTAGGTCCATGGAGACCCGGTCAACATGGTAGTCGCCTGTGTCTTCTTCCACCTTTCTGGCACTGCAGAAGGATACGCAGTAAGACAGAGCAAGACGTGTTGCAAAAGCAAATATCCAACCCGCCGCAGTCCCCGCGCCGCCATCAAATGCTCGCCATATCTAACAATGCATGCTCCATCACCGTTGCATATGCGCTAAAGCCTGCCAAAGTTGAATTCAACTTATCCACAAAACCAACAGCAAAGGAAACGCACAAGAATGCTAGCAAGTAGCATGTATATGAACACCTAGACATACTTATGAAGCGATTGACAATGTTACGTAAAAAGGCAAAGATAACGGACGTGGAGGCAGACAAGCATGTAAAGAAGAAAGCAAGTCAGCTGAAACAAGTACTAGGAAACGCGCACGAGTAGAGAGAGGTGGATTCAGTGAGAGAAAAGAGCAAATAAGGCATATCAGGCAAGGAACAACGAAGATATGAGCAAACATGCGCGAGAGAAAGTTTCCCACAAGTTCCCAACGACGCTAGTTGGTCACTGACGCCAACTAACTGCTCACTTCGGGATTAAATTTGCCTTCGTCGTTTTATTTTGACCCCCCAAAACTGAACCAAACACACAATAAGCACACGACAAGTGGATAAATGAACGACACCGCTTAAGTGCTGCACGAACCAAAGAGCAAATGAACAAGTATGCCTGCAAGTGCGTAATCAAGCTCTTGAGGTCTTTGTGTGAAAGCAGAGCAATATGCAAAGCAAGCAGCAACGCAAAGATGCAGAATTGTTGATGCAGGC